CACACACACACACACACACGGTGTTGTGGAAGAAGACTGATGGTAAGTGTCTCTAACGAGTCCTCACGTGAACGGGGACATTTCAGTGCTGACGGGACACTAACCTGTGACTGTGTGTTCACGTGCACTGTGTTCACGTGCACTGTGCTGTGGAACAGTTGCATGCTCGTCCACGTCTCAGACGGTCTGAACAGATGTTGTTGTTATGATGGACGTTGATGTGACGGAGTTTTAACTGAAGCTTTGGAAGATGAAGAATCGGATCAATGTTAATAATCAACATAATTAATATTCATGTTATTTACTTTCTCTTGTCTTTGGATGAAGATTTTATTTACAATCATGAATTAACGTGGAGTTAAAAAGTAAAATCTGATTTTCTGAAGCGTCTTCCGGAGCTTCGGTTGTTCGTCCACGCAGCAGGAGACACGGAGACACTTTAAATAAAAGTAAGAACATTGATGCAGGACATTAAATCAACTGTGTCCTTCACCTCCTTGTTCGCTAGAGTCTCCTTTTCTCCGGCTCCACTCCTCCTCCTCCTCCTCACCCCTCCATCACCTCCTCCTCCTCTCCTCACGTGAACACCATTGCTCATCTGTTGTTTGTTCTCTCTCTCTCTCTCTCTTTTGTTCTTCTTCTTCTCTTCTTCCCATCTGTGTAGGCAGCCCGTTGAGTAACTTCTTTGACGTAATTAAACAGCTTTTTTCAGACGAGAAGAACATCCAAGCGTCGCACCCCCCCGGCGCCCCCGCCACGCCTAGCTCCCCCGCCAAGCATGCCCCCGGCAGCAAGCCCAGCCAGCCCCCGCCCAATGACTCTAAATGCCCCCCCAGCAAAGACAAAACAAAGATGGCCGCCAGCAACAGGACACAGGAACAACCTTAAGGAGCGCTAGCTGTGCATGTCGAGGACGAGCGGTCGTCGGGTCGTTAAAGAGGAGCGCTGCTAACTCCGCCCCTTTAGTTAGACAGAAAACAAAACAAAAAACAAAAATCTACTTTTTGCCTATAAATTTTCTACGTGTAACAGGAATGGCTCTTCAGTTAAGATCAGTATTTTACAGTAAGTAGCAGATGTAGCTTTGTCGTCCCTCTCGTCCGTCCCCTCTCTCGTGTCCTCGGGGGTCTGTCGGTGGGTGTGTGTCCTCCTCACATTGACTTGTCTCTGCCACCAGGGATCATCCATAATAACTATTAACCTCAGCGAGACCGGCCGCCGCCGCCGCCGCCGCCGCCAAGAGAGTCCGACCCTGAAGACAGAAGACACCCCCCCCCCGCCTCCCTCCCCCACACCCCCCTTCCCTCTTTGAGCCCGGCCGCATCAGTAGACTCCACGTCGCCCCCTGCAGACCAAACAGACACATCTCAGAAGAGTCGTGAAAAGAGAAAAAAAGCCTTAAGACAGTGATGTTTGTCAAATCTACGAACACACCCCCCCCCCCCTCTTCCTCCCACATGTACATAACAACACATCCTGTACGTGCTCCGACACACACACACACACACACACACACACACACACCACTTCTCTGCGGGATGTAAAGATGCACAAGATGACTGAACAGGAAGCGGTGGACGAGCTATGGACGAGTGAACGCTGGCTGGATTGTAATTCTTTTGAAAGTTTCCGTGTGAACGACAGGATTTTTACGTTCCTGTGAAAAAAGGTGTTGATGCGGTGAACGTGTGGAAACGAGCGGAGGAGTGGCGCTACGTAAATGAATGATCTATTCTGTTGTACAGACTAAATAATGTTCCGTGTGTACAAACGTGTAGTTGTGACATGTTTTCCAGTTGTGTTGCTTCACTTTGGTTTGTTATTCCTGCACAGGCTCGGTCACGCCCCCTGCGACACAAGGTTACGTTAGCGAGCTAGCACTAGACTTAGCGCCCCGTTTTATTTCATCTCCTGTGTCTCGAGTGTAAAGTTCGTGATGAACTTTCAAACTCTTCATTTCCATAATAACATTGAGCCGTCAGTTGATATTATTGATGTTAAAAATAGTTTCGATCCCGACAAACAAAACCTCAGAACGTTTTCTGGTTCCAGTTTCTCAGATGTGACACTTTCCCGTTTTTTTTTTTTTGTCATTGAGATTTTTGAGAAATTCAAACTTAACTAAAATCAAAGATTGAACGATTTGATGGAAAGAGGGAGTGACTCCTAGATAACGAGTTAACCTAACTCGTTAGCCACAAAGCTATCAGAGTACGGAGAGAACAGGAATTAGCTCGAACAGCTACAGGGTTAGCATGTGTCGCCACTGAACTTCCAGAAACACCGATTTTGCGGAAGCATCTCACGGTGTCGTGTTCTGGCGTGACCGGGCCTCGTCGGGGAAACGTCTCCTTTTGCTTTGGCACTTTTGAGAAGTGAAACATCTGCGTTCAGTTCCACCTTTACTCTATTTTTGATTTTTACTTTGCCATCGTTTGAATTATCTGCAGGTTTCAGACAATATTGAACTGCTGTGTATATCTTTTGTATATTTTTGTACTTTATCGTATCTTGTCTTTTGTTTTCTTGGTCATTAATTTATTCTCAGTTATTTATATGAAAGATGTAGAGAATGTTTGTTGACGTCAAATAATTTAAGGATATTTTTGTCATGTTTAAGTTATTCGATCACGAGATGTTTGTGAGCGTTTGTTCCTTTTTCCGAGAGAAACCTTGTAATATACTTTTGGAAAATGATTTAGCGTAATTTAAGAATGTAGACGTAGCCTCTTTGAGGAACAAACCCTTCGTTGATAATTGTCGGCTCCTCCTTCTTCCTCCCTCGTGTGTACGATGACTCAGATTTCACCAAACACTCTTTCTGTAAATAAGCCGAGTTTACTGACAAGCTTATTTTTAAAAAACCAAGAGGAGTCCTACTCTTAGCTTTGACCTCGTACGGTTGTTTGCATGTTCAGCATTCGTCTTTTCTTTGCATGTCGTCGTTGGAATTCTTCTCCTGTTCCCTTTTTCTCTTCACACTTATTTATGTATTTATGTTATTTATGTGCATTTTCTTTGTCCTTTGTTTTTTGGGGGATTTTGATTTATTTCCCTTCGCCGTCCTCTCGCCCTCTTCTTCTTCTTCTTCTTCTTCTGGATTACAGTAACATCCTCCTCACTCATTCTCTCAGAGAGGGACCGATCAGGTCGCTCGCCCGGAGCAGCTGGGTGAGCGGTGGATTATCAGAGAGAGAAATTAAAGCAATACCTTCCATTGTTCGCTTTCCTCTTTTTCTACTATGGGAATCCAGAGCACACAGAACGGACTCGGAGCACGGAGCGCTACTACTGAGCAGGAGAACCACTGGCTATGTATTCCCTCGTGATGTGACTGTGAACAACTTCAGTGCTAAAGGAAATAAATCTGTTGACTTTGGAGCCGTTTTCCAGCAGTTTGGATTATTAAGAAGTTTATTCACAGTATTTACATCATGTACATTTGTCACAGAGCGAGAGAGTCTGGTGTTAAAATCCCGTCAGACTCCAGCCGGTCGACTGCAGCTGAGAAATAAGATAAAATCACGTGAGAAATGTTTGACAGCTTTTTAAACGTATCAGAGCTTCTTACAGGAAAACAGAGGTTGACAAGAATACAGTTATTTAACAAAAAGTTTTAAATTTAAGAAAATAAAGTTGAAATTTTAGAGACTATAAAACATTTCCTAAAAATGTTTTATTTTTTTTTAACAGTATTAAGATCAGTATTTTACAGTAAGTAGCAGATGTAGCTTTGTCGTCCCTCTCGTCCGTCCCCTCTCTCGTGTCCTCGGGGGTCTGTCGGTGGGTGTGTGTCCTCCTCACATTGACTTGTCTCTGCCACCAGGGATCATCCATAATAACTATTAACCTCAGCGAGACCGGCCGCCGCCGCCGCCGCCGCCGCCAAGAGAGTCCGACCCTGAAGACAGAAGACACCCCCCCCCCGCCTCCCTCCCCCACACCCCCCTTCCCTCTTTGAGCCCGGCCGCATCAGTAGACTCCACGTCGCCCCCTGCAGACCAAACAGACACATCTCAGAAGAGTCGTGAAAAGAGAAAAAAAGCCTTAAGACAGTGATGTTTGTCAAATCTACGAACACACCCCCCCCCCCCTCTTCCTCCCACATGTACATAACAACACATCCTGTACGTGCTCCGACACACACACACACACACACACACACACACACACNGTGACTTTATTCTGAAATTACGACTTAAATCTTGTAAAATCCCTTTTTCCTCAAAATCTTTTTTTTCTTCATTTGACTGTTTTACTGCATTTTTAACGCAGCGTCAGATTCATCGAAACTATTTTCAGTTCAGAACCTGAAGTCTCAAATGCAGCAGCTTGCGTTAGCTTAGCAACTTTAACTGGCACCAGTGATTGAAGAGTTACACGTTTAAATTCGTTTGGTGAATCTGACGTCTCTAAAATATTTTCTCACGCGTCAGCGAACATCGTCTCAACCGGAGCTTTGGTCAAATTCATGTTTTAACGTTTCACGTTTTCTGAGGTGACACGTTTTTCTCAACTGGTTCTGACTAAAACTTCTAGAATCTAAAAATCGAAACAAAGAAAAACTGTTTAATTGACTTGATAAATTAGAATTTATTTCTACGTCATTAATTCGAATCAAAGTTCAACTGAAAGAATCTTTGTTCTCGTTACTTTAAAGTAAAACGATCGTTTTTACTTTGCCTGCAGGACGCCGTAGTTTCCGTTGGATTTATTTGGTTGCATATAACCAGGTTATATATAACCATATAACCTGCAACTTAACCACAAGATGTCACCGAATCCTTCACACTGAACCTTCGATAAATAAAACAACAGTTTTTACAATACGGCTTCTTTACACACACACACACACACACACACACACACACACACAGCTGTGCACTCAGCTTCTACTCTCCACACACACGGTGGAGAGTGTAAACTCTGTGGATCAGCGCCACCTTCAGATCATTCAGGAGCGACACGTCCCCGTCCTGAACGCTCGTCCCCGGGCAGAGCAGCTGCTGACCGGCGCCCCCTAGCAGCAGGCGGTGGAAGTCCTCTCTGTCCAGGAGCCGGTCCATGTGCTGCAGGAAGAATCCTTCACAGAACCTGCAGAGCTCAGCGGCTCCGTGATGCTGCGGACGCGACGAACACAAAGAAGTGAAAATAGAACGTGAACGTTTGATTTGATCAGATATAAACAGTCTCCTTCCTCTCGCGTCACGTTAACGTCAGCCTGTGTTCTCGTACCTTGGCGGTCTGGTAGACGTCGACGACGTTGTCCAGCGTCAGACTTTGCGACAGCGTCGTCTCGCAGCTCCTCTGCAGAACTCTGAGCTGGAAGAATGTGGCCACAGGAAGTAGCTTCAAAAACAAAAACATCCAAATTAGCGTATCTGGAGAAAAAGTCTTAACTGGACAACTTTTATACGAGAACACCAGCGGACACATGTTGGGATTAGAACAAACAACCATCGGGGGTTTGATCACGGGAATCTGGGATCTGGTAAATGTTTGATTCCTGATGCAACAATCTGCCGAGTTTCACTCTTTTAAATTCCTGTGAATAATCTGAGATGAGCGACGTTACCTTCGCGGCTTCAGACTGAGAGAGAGTCGCTCCCTCCGTTCCTCCGCAGTACAAAGTCTTCATCACCATCTGCAGAGAAACACACTTCGTCAGCTTCAGCCACATTGATCACCAGACTTCAGGAGGCGAATCTGAGCCCGACCTGGAACGTGCCGTAGGTCACGTGACTGATGTGGATGACGTCGTCGGGGGAGTCGCTGAGCAGCCGGCGAAACCTGAAACAGAAGAAGAGTTCATCAGATAAACTGTTTTTATTTTATTTACATCTAACTGGTAAGTACTGATGTCATGTCTTCACACTGGGGGACACCCAGAGGACACCCAGTCCGTCTTTAAGTCCAATTCTTGTAAACATGACGTCTCAAGGAACTTTTTAACTGATTAGATTTTAGTGGTCAAAGTTCGCGCTGACCTCACGAAACATGTTGAAAACATCTCAAGTCTGTTTCTGAGAATTTCTTCACATTTTGCCAGATGTCACTTAACTGATAAGAGGTCAAAGGTCACAGTGACCTCATATTATTGTGAATTACATAACAACCACACTTAA